CAGCCCAAACCGTCCTGTGATTCTACGTCTGTCCCACTACCTGGGGAAAGCATATCAGAGTGTGAGGAGAGGGAGCGAGAGGTGCCTGGCAGTAAAAGTTACCGAGAGGAAAGTTCCCACCTCTCAGGCCTCCGTGGATCACGCAGTGGCCTTCTGCTGGGAATGTCTCCACTGAAGTACCTCTGGCAGCTCGTTCCTGTTCGGCGCATTTGCCTGCTCACAGCCAACAGCCCTGAGCAGCACCGCGCAAGCCCGCAACGCGCGGTCCCTTACACCTCCTCCCTGTCTTCCAAGTCTGTATCCCATGGCTTCCCAGATGGGGTGGCCTTAGAAGTAGTAAAGCAACCTGTTAGCAGTTTGAATTCCTTCTTACACGTAAGCACCCAGCCCATTGCGCTCACCTTTCCCTGGAAAGGCATCGCAAACACCTAAAAAGGCAAACACAGGGAATGATGTTTATCAAAACCTCTTTCAGTAAGATTTTGGTTGCGAATCTTCTCCGCCTTGTCTTTTCTCCGATGTATTTATCAACTCTGGTTCTAGCTTGTTTGGTGTTCCGTTGCCTCTTACAGGGTTTAGGTGGATTTACAAGGTTATTATTTAGCAGTAGATTTGTTACAAAAATCATTGGAAAAAATGTCATTGTTCCTGTCTCAGAACAGTATTCTTTCTATGCCTAAACACCTAATAGGCACAAATCAAGCATTAGCCTGGTCATAGGTACTGCCACGTGCGTTTAAAGAACAAACGAGATGTTGGGGTGAGCCGGGTTTGGAAAAGATGAAAAAAAAAAACCCCAAAACCCCAGCGTTTAAAACCAGCTCCTGGACTTCTCTGTAGCAGCGGCGTACGTAATCCAGTGCAGCGTCTGGTTTGTAGTGGGCTGTGGTTTAACACGTACCTCCTGAGTCGTGCTTCGCGTTCAGGAAGACAGAGCGGGTGGTCCTCTGGGAGACCGTGAACATCAGGAAGAACTCTTTCAGGCTTCGGCATGTCCTTGTATAGTTGTCTCTTGCCCTGAAAAGATTGGGTCTGATACAAGCAAAAGAGAAGTTGGCTCAGATTTTGGCAAACGAGAGGAAAGGAAAAAGCCCCTAACGGCAGTGAGGAAGCTCGCCGCTGCTGCTGCTGCAGCGCGATTTTGCAGGACTGAGCTGCCACGAAGCAGCGGCGTAACGCCAGGCAGACAGAATGTGGCTCAGCACGCGGGTGTCCGGCCCGCAGCTGCCTGTCTGCTCCGAGAGAAGGATGGGGTTGTTGCGCAGTAACAAGTGAGGGCGGCCTGGCGGCCTGTCCGTGTCCTCCGTGCTGCTGGCTGACGTTGAGACACCTTCCTGTTCTCCGCAGGGGGCTTCTTCTCCACCATCTTCTCCAGCTTGTTTGGAACTCGAGAGATGAGGATTCTCATCCTGGGACTGGACGGAGCGGGAAAAACAACCATTCTGTACCGGTTACAAGTTGGAGAAGTCGTTACCACCATTCCGAGTAAGTGATTGGTCCCCCAGCGAAGACGCCTGCTTTGCCAGCAGCTCTAGCTTGGGCGGCCGAACTCGCTTCCCCCCGAACAAAAGGACCTTGCGCTGCGGGCGCCTTGCGCTGCTGCGTCTAAGCGCTTGCTTGCGTAGCAGCACTGCGGCGCCCCGCAGAAGTGCTGCGTTCAAAAAAACAGCACGAAGTGCTCCGTTCTGTAGGAAGCGTGTGACCTGGAGACTGTTACCGTGACTGGGCGGGCTTCTCTTGACATGTGCCTGTTCAGTAAATTGGTGACTGTTGACTTGGTGAATCTTTTGTCTCCAAATCTAGGTAGAATGCAAATTCTGGAGATCACTGTTGTTGTGCAAAACCGTTTTTATGTAGGATGGTGTCAGTGAAGAGTACCTATTTAATTTCATTTTTTTGAGGAGGGTCTTCAGTCTGTCACATAAACCTTTCTGGTTAACACCGACAAGAGATCAGATGATTTAACTTCACGTTACGCAGAAGGCGTAGCAAAACTCAGGGCGAGATCTTGTGGAAGGAGGCAATGCTCATTTAACAACACGGAACCGATGTCAGCAGTTCCTTGGCACTGGCACAGCCGTGCCTGCCTCACAGACACCCCAGCGTGTGGGCCAAAGTGGCCTGGCTGCACTCTCTGCGGTGTGAGGGACAAGGGGCGCTTGGCTTTTGACTCCCTGTTACATCCCCTGGGTTCCTCATTAACGGCCACGACTCTGGTCAGGCCTTTTTTACCCGTTAGAAGCCCGCAGTTTACGGTGCCATAAACCTGTTGCCCTGGGGTGTGGGTTATTTTGGCTTCCATGAATTTGAGGCAGTCTGCCTGCATCGTTCCCTTCCCTGGGTTGCGTTCCTCTGGGCTGGCAGGATAAGGAAGGAGAGGGGCGATACACTGTAACCTCACTGACATCCTCCAGACACCTCCATTCCAAGTCTTCCGCTGGGAAGTTGGTTCCGCTGAGGTGTTAGGAGGCCAAGGGCCTGGGGTTGACACGAAGGACGCGTTCCTTGGTGGGTTACTACTGTCAGCTGTGCTCTTGGTAATCCAAGCAGGCCATGCCTTTTGTCCTCGCTCCGTTTCTTCTGGGGGCTTCTGGCACGCTTCTGTGCATTTTTAACAACTTCAGGGTTTGTTACAATCTCTACGGTATGTTCACAGTATGCTTTTATTGTTCAAACAAAAAAAAAATCTGCATTATTGCGAGCAACAGCTGTTTGCCAGGGTAGCTTGGCAAAGGGCATGAACTTGGTGGTGTAGCTCGGGGCTGAAGCCTTTAAACCAAGTGCTGCAGTGTTCTTCAGAAAAAGAAAGAAAAATCACTAACGGTGAATTTCTTCAACTTTTTTCCAGCCATTGGCTTCAATGTTGAGACAGTGACATACAAGAATCTGAAATTCCAAGTTTGGGACCTGGGAGGACAGACAAGCATAAGGTAACAGATCTCTTGTCATCAAAAGATATAATTAAATTCCTCTAAAACTTGCTGAGCTGTTGGACTTTTCGTAGCTGGCGCTTCCGAAGGTTGGTTTTGTGACATTTCAAACCCGGCCCGTCATCAGGAGGGCACTTTGGTCTGACAGAATTCAGTTAGTCAGACCTGTGTTGGACTGCAGACCGGGAGGAAACAAGCAGGTGTTTTCACTTGCATACACGTTTGTGTGGCAAAACGAGTTTCCTGCGTAGTGGCCAATGGTGCAGCATTCTGAAAAAGGGAAGTGAGTGATATAAACCCCAGAGGATATTTAAATTTTCATGTTTTTAAGAATGCAAAGCTAGGAAGTTGAATTTAGGTGTAGGTGATGATTATTTTTAGCGAGCTGTGCAGGCTCTGCAGCGAGTTGTTGCACACACAGTTGCAGTGATCTCTCCAGGACCCGGGTGTGCTCTTCTCGTGATTCCTTTTGGAACACCAGGTGGTAAGGTGCGGTGTAGCTAGTTAACGAGTAACCTGCAGGTTCATTCCCTTCTTAGTTCCAGTAAGATAATTCTGCAAAGGTGGTTTGTTGTGATCCTTGTTAATCACTTGCCTGTATTAATTAGCCATTTAAACTTACTCTGTTTATCCTTTTTTGGTGACCATGATGACAATCTGTGGCAGAAACTTGTGTATTTAAACTTCCCTGTCCCTCAGTTCTGGACCTGATGTGCTACAGGCTGATTCCCAAATAAATCTGTGCCCGACGCTTCTATCCCTTCCTTGTTTTTCAAGCTGCCCTTTTTTTTTTTTTTTTTTTTGGTGTGTGTGCTATTGGGAGTATTTCTACTGTCTGTTCTTTTTTTGTAGCCTCTTGAAGATATTTTCTGCTTGCTTCCTGGGGCCATTTGCCCCAGAGATGGGGTTATGGTTTAACTCTGGAGAGCAAAATACCACAAAGCCACTTTCACAGGTTCCCCCCTTCCAGTGGAGGGGAAGA